CTACTAGGTGTCAATGTGTATGTCTATGCCACTTCACTCAACCCAACCCTACAATGCCCCTTTGACTGTACCTGCAGTATGGCTGGTTAAAGCAAGGTCACGAAAAGCCTGAAATACAGGTTAAGGTGCACAGGCTGAAAGAACAGGATGCAGTGAAGGACGATGAAATGGAGGAGTATACTGACAAAAAGCAAAGACTCCTGGGGTTTGAGAGGGAACGACTTGAAGAGAGAGAAAGTGAGAGAGAGATAGAGTAAAGTCTCCTGTGGGTTGAGAAAGAGAGAAAGGAAGAGAACGAGGGAGGTGTTAGCCGCGGGGTAGAAAAGAAGAGGAATAAGGAAAGCAGGGTCACAGCATGGGGCAGAGAGCAAGGAGACACATAACAAGGTGAGATAAGACTCAGCATGGCAGCTGGGAAGAGGAAACGACAGAATCTTTCCGTTCTGTCTTCATCTTTCCATCAACGTCTCTTCTGCTGGAGTGACTGTACGTTCGTGTGTGTGTGTGTGTGTGTGTGTGTGTGTGTGTCCACAGTGAGGATCCAGCCTGTTTCCAGCATGGGGTAAAGCATGGGCGGCGTGCTCCTGTCACTGATAGGTTTCATTTGGTTGAAGTCGAGTTAGGTTGGAAGCAATACGCAGAAACTGTCAGGGTGTGTTTGTGTGTGTGTGTGTGTGTGTGCGTGTGCGTGTGTATGTGTGTGTGTGTGCGTGTGCGTGTCACGCTCTGTGGGTGGGCATCAACTTCAATTTGAGATTCCGCTCTTACACGAGCCTGTCCGTCCCTCAGAATACATCATTTTTGGGACTTTCTTTGCCAAACAATTCACAGACTGCAATGGCTGCAAGCTTCCTCTGAGAGATTTAATATTGGGCTCCAGATGTTACCGTTGTAGTCTCTGTTTACACCTAACACACACTGCCGTACTGCTTCACTGTTCTCACGTCTCACTGAAGACTCGGTTGTTGCTGTTCTATTTTACCATTTCAGGCATTTCTTAAAGCATCGATAATCAATGTTTTTAAGTTAATAGATCAAATGACTACCAAGTGTCGCTCGTAGTGACGAACCCAGATAATTATCAGTAACTCTTCAGTGTCTTACAGTTTTACGGCCTACAACTGTACTGTTTTGGTTCACTCTCACTGCTGTTATCAGTGTCATTTCCAGATGCAGCAGGCAGGGTTTTCAGTGGAAAAAGCACTATAAAAACTGGACACTACCTGCACAGCAAAACAGCAGGCAGACTAAATAAGAGACTAGCTAGAGAACACAGTGGAACATTAAGCAGCTGAGAGTGGATTGTTTTCACCCAGAGCCAAAAAGCAACTAAATATTGGAATTACACAAGACACAAACAGGATTCCAAAGGAGTGCCAGTGCTGCTCCTGTAACTGCTTGCTAACAATTTAGCTATATCAAGTTAAAAAAAGATAATCTGTCAGAATGCTTACTGCTTGTTTTCCAAAATTAGTCAACCCAGGTTAGGCAGTCACTGAATTTCATTTGGATTTCAAAAGCATTTCCCCAGTTTTGTTTTACTAGCTAGCTTGTCCTTATTTTGCATTATTTCCTTGCATATTTCACTGCATTTCAGTTTTGTATGCATGTGGGGATAGAGAATTAAATACAAGCTTAACAGTGGCTGCCCAGAGTTACAAACAAGACCCTAGCATCCACTTAATAATGCGTTTGGTTACATATGTGTCTACATATTGCTCAAAGCTCGTGCCCAGTTGATATTTCCTCAATATAGGAATGTAGAATATACTAAAAATATAACAAAAGGTCAGTAACAATCAGGAGAAGGAGAGACATTTTCTCCCCAAAACTGCCATGGGTATAAACTCCGTCAGGGAAAAAAACAAGAGCTGTCAAGACTTGGTTATCCCTTCATCCCCAACCACTCGTCTCTATCCTTCGATCTTCCATCCCTTCATCCCTGTACCTAACTCCCTTCAAACCTCCGACTGACTGACAGCCATCCCTATGAGGCTTCGTATTCTTAGGAAAAACTCACACATATGCACACATGCACACACTCATGCACACACTCATGCAACCATCTGATCCAATGCCGTGACTCCCCGTCAGCGGCGCCGCTCTCCTGTTTTGTTGCGTTCTGACAGGTCAGTGTTGGGTTGTGTTAGCTTGTGAATGTGTTCAGGGCTTCAGGGGTCAGAGCTGCGCAGCAGCCTCAACGCCCAGATGTGGACTCTCCCTGACGTGTCTGGCCAAGCGGAAAGCGCTGAGAACAACCCTGCACATGTGCACTAGGTGATAATAAAGACCTGCATGTCCACAGATATACAATTGGGCACGTTGAGGCAGCATGTGGGATTGCGTTAGGCAATATTAAGTTGCTCTAATTAGACACTGTGGGGGTTCAAGTTGGTGTGGTGGAGGAGAAAGTCTGTGTAGAAAAACAACAGAAGAAATTACACTTTTTTTTCTTTTTCTTTTACATTGTCAAACTAAAGAGAAAAAGATCCAATAAAGCAGTGGCATCAGGAAATGTAATATTTGTACATTCTCCACCATGTTTTAAGATGGAATTGAATTCGATATTTCTTTTTTAACCATATGAATGTATACAGATATTAAAACAAACGTTAAACAGTATAACATTGATTGATGTGCACAGCAAAAAGAAAATGCCAAATTGGCTCAGACATAGACATAGGAACTTTGCCAAGTTAATTGAGGCAGTCAATATCAACAAACTGAAACAGCTAATGGGATGAAAGAAAAGGAGATGAAAAGAGATGAAAAATGTAATCCTATAAAGGCACAGAAAACAGTCAAACTTTTAAAATCCAATAAAGTTGAAAAATATCGTGTGATAAAGAGAAATGGAGTACAAACATGTACAGCAATAGCAGCAAACTAATCATGAGGAAGAACAATAGCAGAACAAAGTCAATATAATTAATGTGTGTGTGTGTGTGTGTGTGTGTGTGTGTGTGTGGGTAAGGTTGGAGGCTCATGAGAGAGAAGACAAAGAGCCTGTTTTCACTTAATTTTTTTTCAAAGAACAGCCGCTGTAGCTGCGACTGTCCTATAAAACTACACTCCCATTTATTAGCTGCATATCCAAGGTCTGTTGGAGGTCTTCAGGGCCGTTTGAGGCTTGTAGTCTGGGGCGTGATGCCATGAAGCTGTGAAAACTGGCCCATGATGGGAACAAATTCAACTCAAATTTTTTTTTTGCATCGCTCCAAATTCGCACACATCTTTCACGCGCTGCCAAAAGGGGCGGCAACGGGTGCGACTCCTACACCTTCCGCATTTTCTCATGATGGTCATTTATTTAGCTTTTGTGTACCAGACCTTCATGTTCACAGTGACATTGTCACAATTTCTCCTTGAGCCATCACTTTCCTTTTCGTCCTACGCAGAGGAACACATTCTTAAAATCTCACCGAGGAAGAGTGCCAGCCAGCTTTAAGCTGTCCACTAAGTCTAAGCTGTATGTCCACGATATGTCTGAGGCAATGCTTACTGCTCTGTCTGTTTGCTCAGCCTCAGCAAAGCCCATTGTAGTTTTTGTATCTTTCCCCTCTTTTACCCTTTTTTCCTCTTCCTAGAGAAAATCTCTCTGTTTTACCAGCTTTAAAAGAAAAAGACAAGCTTGAGAAAAAAATATAAGGGAATTCTTTTTTAACAGAAAAAAGCAGAAGGAAAGACGGCCGCCTATGGATGTGCCTGTCAGGAGAGTGTCTGTGTGGAAAAGTATCGATCCGAGCAGATGAACCAGTGGTTAGCCTTGGTATGGAGTGTATGAAGATTAGCTCTCCCTCCCCACCCTCTCTTTCATTCCCTCTTTGTTTTTCTTGCTTTGTCTCTTCTCGCACCGTCTCTATCTCTCCCTATCACCCTCCTCTCCTTCCCTGGCTCGCCTCCCTCTCTGCCTGCCTGCCTGCTGCTTACAAACACACAGCTCATTTCTGTCTGGCGGCTCGTCGTCTTGCCTGCTCACTGGAGCCTGCTGCTGAAGACTGAGAGGACCTGAGACACGCATGTGGCAGCCTGCCAACCTGTTTGTGTGTTTTGGATCACTGGTGTCTTTATCCAGCAGCTGTGTGTGTGTGTGTGTGTGTGTGTGTGTGTGTGTGTGTGTGTGTGTGTGTGTGTGTGTGTGTGTGTGTGTGCGTGTGCGTGTGTGTGTGTGCGCGTGTGCATGCGTGTCTGAGAGCAGAGATCAGGGTGAGGAGTAATCGGGACAAGTGCTGAATGTGCTTCAAGTATCTTTTTAATCACACAACGTCTTCAGCACGTGTGGGTGTGTGTGTGTGTGTGTATATAGGACAAGACACATCTCCGCGTACAAATGTACACACATTGATTCTCACCTATTGATTTTGCGATTCTCTTATGCCATGCCCAAACAGTGTATGTTTCACTGTGAGTGTATGGACAAGTGAGTGTGTAAGTTAGTGCTTGTGTTATGTGTAGGAAGGGAGAGTAAGTGAGCTGGGTAGCAACCAAACAAATGGCAGCCCCATCAGTCCTGGTGATTGAGTTATACTTTCCCATTCAACTCAGTAGTTTCCTGTGACCAAGAGGAAACTTTTCTATTTTGCATTTTGTTTTGCATTTCCCGAAAAGCTTATTGACTCAGGGACGGCCAAGGCCTGATGAATTCATCAGCAGACTTTTATCTGTGACTTTTAGTCCGTTTTCACACAGCCTATCAAGGTCCTTCAAAATTAAAAGCTTTTTACGTTTTTAAAGGTTTTTTAAGTGTGCCATTATTAAATGAACAACATTTTTCACCTTGCTCTTGAAAGCCATACATAAATATGTAGACATGAAGAAACACCCCACAAAACATCACGCCTGTTAGTTACTGCAGTCTCAAAGACACTTTGATTAAATCCTGGCCCCTGTTTGCTGGTGCAAACCTTCCCTGATGGACTGCTTTCTCCCATCTTTTTCCTTTCTTTGTCCACCCCAATCATCCTCTTCCTCCATCCTCCTCCTGTTCCTTTGTCCTCTAGGTGTAGCGGAGGTGATAGTTCTGGTGGGAGGGCGCCAGGCAATCGGGATGAACCAGCGTTCCCTGACAGCAGTCACCTGTTTTAACCCCCAGAACAGTAAGTGGTACCCGCTGGCCAGCCTGCCCTTCTACGACCGCGAGTTCTTCAGTGTCATCTCGGCGGGAGACAACATCTACCTGTCAGGTGAGCTAAATCGCCCACTCCAGCAGCACAATTGTAGCTTTCCTGTAGCACTCATTTAGTGGCACAGAACAGGAGGACAGTGGATGCCATCGGTTTGTCACACTGCAGTAGTGAAAGGTTATCCCTTTAATTCAGGAACAAGTTATTATTATATTCTAACATCAGGCTGATTTTGCTACATCTACATAGTTTCTTACAGCAGTAGCAGCATGGCTCTATGGATGGTAATCATCGGTCATCAAGTCAAATTACAATTTGTGTTATACTTTTGTTTGCTGTAAAACTAAATACCTGCAAAACTAATGACATTAGCCAATGTAAGCATACTAAGATAGAAAATATATCTGCTAAACATCACAATGTTCACATTGTCATTGTGAGCATGTTAGCATTATGACATTAGAATTTTGCTCCAAGCACCACTAGCCTCACTATAGACTTGCTAGAGACTCTGATGAGGGCGATAAAACTCACTCCCCAAAAGGTAATAAACATTTCCTCTCTTGATTTTATCATGGGCACAGTTTTCTGACAATAAAAAAAAACTCCAAAACATTATGGTTTTAGATAATGAAAAGCAAACCATGGAATTTCTGGTCTCTGACCTCTTTTGGTAAAATCCCTTTGATCGTCATGAGTCCTGACAAAGGTCTCCACACTTGACATTTGTGGTCTCTTAGTGAGGACATTTTCTCTCTGACAGATATGATTCTGCAGAGGCTACCCAGACCATTGCCATCTTCTTGTGACCTTTGTGAAACAGTGAGAGTTTTAAAAGGGTGGCTGTCCTCAAAGCTTACTGTTGCTTTTACAAACTGCACACAACTTTAATGTCTTTCTTTTCAGAAGAGTCCTTTTTGTATGGAATGTCCCTCCTATTTACCTTGTGTGGAGCATTTTTTTTTAACTTTACTTTTTTTCCCCTCTGTCTGGCTTTACAGTCGCCGCAGTGTTCTGCAGTTTATTTTGTTCCATAGTGGCACACTGTGCACTCTGTGACTCCCTCTATGAGACACCTTTAAGTTGCTCCTCCAGAGGTAGACTGAATTTCTCCCTCCACGGTCCATTTGTGCGAGAATCCTGCACGGTACTCAGACCTTGACATTGCACCGTGGAAATGCAGCAGGATTTGTCCTGCGTGTACCTTTCCTCTCCCTCTTTTCATATAAATGTAAATTTGTGTTTGGGCATTGGAACAGGTCTGCATGTGTCCGCTGGGAGTCAGACAGCCGGTGGAGAAATCAGAGGTGTTCTAGCTAGCCAATCAACGGGCTCTGGTCTGTAACCTTCTTCACACCCGGAGCAGGGTCACTGAGTCACGGCTGGTGTTACATGTCAAACTACACAGCTAACAAGGCTGCTTTGAAGACAGTGTAGTTTTGATGGTTGGTCGGTTGACTAGTCAACACTGCAGCAGCAGCAACTTTCAGTCTGTTAAAGCTGTCCAACTCACTCACCAACACTTCTGAAAAATATATGTGTAGGGGTGGAGATTTCAGTACTTAATAGAAAATAGTTGGAAAAATGAAAGAAAAACAACTTTTTGCCAAAATTGTCCTACTACTTGATGCCAGTTTTTTATGTATCCAAAACCTCCCTTCTATATACTATAAAAAAGTCATAAAGCCCTTTTCAACGTAATAGTTACTAGATACTAAGAAGCTACAGGAACTGAACTACAAGCTAGAAGTTCCTCTTGGACTTTGGACTGTGTTTTCACTGAATCTGCAGAACCTTTTGTATTTCATGTCACATTACTCTTCCTGTATTTTTAAGTGGATGTAATAAAGGAATGAAGAGGTGGAATGAGTTTGACTCCAAAAGTAGATGATCCACCAAATGTTTCACGTAACCATGATGAAACTCTTATCTATGGGGAATCCGACAATATAACTTTGTATTTCATTTTAATAGATATTAAAACAAATTTCCACCCGTCCTCTTAATATTTGTACTAAAGTCACCCGGTACTTGCTCACTTTGTAGTAAGTGAAAAAGAATCTGTTTGACCAGTCAGCAACGTTCAGCTCTAAATACTCTGAACCATTGGAAAGTACTTTTTGCTTTAAGCTCTGTTCAAAACCCAAGTAGAAGTTCCTCAAAAGGTTCTTGGTTCCCTAGGAAAATTCATAATCCCTCTACATACCGACTCTAATAACTCTTATCCTTATATCTTTCAGGTGGCACAGAGTCTGGTGTGATGGTGGCTGATGTATGGTGCTACATGTCCCTGCTGGACAACTGGAATCTGGTGTCCCGGATGACGGTAGCCCGCTGCAGACACAACAGCCTGGTATACGACGGCAAGCTCTACACCATTGGAGGACTGGGCGTATCAGGGAACCTAGACCACGTGGAGAGGTAAGAGTCGTGCAAAATCAACATCAGCCAGTCTCCAAACAACAGACACCTCCAGCAGCTCCCAGCTGGTGCCTGCGCAGCCCCACACAACTCTAACCCCAATTTGACAGCCATCTCAGGGCGCGCGTGCGGACGATTCTGCAAAAGTAGGTGGATGCTGAGCAATCCAGTTTCAGCAAATAAATATTCACACTGCGCAGCTAAACACGGCAGATGGTGTGGCATACAGTAGTGTGGTGGAGCATATTGAAAAAGTGGTTGGACAGGTTTGTTAGCATTTTCTGTGAGAGCAAAAGGTGCAGAGGAATGAATCTGAGCCGGAGCATATTAAATGGTCACAGCTGTGAGTGTTGTTGTGGAGCGACAGAGCCTCTTACTTGTTTGTGAGTGGCGCATGAGTGAGAGGATTTGCTTTCATAGAGCAAAGTGGTATACTGTGTCTGATTCCATCCACTTCAGCATCGACACGTCGCCGACACTTCATTTGAAGGTCATCCACTGTGGCCTGTTCAGCTGGGTCTTTTACTTCTTATTTTTTTGGTGTTTTCAGTATAAAACCAGACAGTGTCCTCATGGAGTATAATAATTCCTAGAGGTATATAACATGACTAGGGATCGTCCAGATTTAATAATCGGATTAATGTCACTTGACTATTGTAACACTGCTCCCTATTTCTTATTTTTCCTTCTAACCTGGGCTGAGGAGTGAGTCTCAGGATAGAGAGGGGGGCTACCTCCCCTGCACAGCAGAGCGAGATTAACCAAAGCAATCAAAAGAACATTACTGAGTATATTAGAGCAGGCCGCTGCCGCTCATTACCTAGCAGCTCAATTGATCTCCAAAGCTGTTCGCAATGCACAACAGTCCTCCAAATGAAACAGCCTAATTTGATATTTCCCCATAATGCTGCCATACAGTGTCGTTATGACAGGGGGTAGATGGAATATTTGCCCCATAATGGAAACGCATTTGATTCCTCTGTCTCTGAGCTGCTTAATTTGAGAGCTGCCGGTGCATCTGGGGTATTCACAGCTCCAAAGAAATCAGCATCTCGTCATGTGATGTGTTTGTATGTGTTTCTCTGTCTGTGCCCTTGTGTGCATTTTCTCTGCAATCATGAAGCTTCTCCGAGGCCCCGATCAACTGGACTCAATTATCAGCCCCATAAAACTTTAACCTACTTTGCCTCTCTCTAAGAACTGCCAGAGGCCCCTTCTGCTTGGTATTACTGCCCTAGCTTTGCACTCTCAAAGGTTGCAACAGCTAGGGAGAAATAAACCACACACCGAACAAAATAGTTGACTCTTAACAGGAAGGAAGAAGAAATGCATGGTACTAAGGCTGAAGCAAACCATTTGTAACACTAGGTCAGGGTCATACTTACCGGCCTTATCATTTAAAAGCTACCAGGTCTCTCAATCTGTTTGGGCAAATTGTCAGAAAAGTCAACGGGCTTGTTTCTAAGCAACCCAGGCTTTTATGTTGTCTTTTTTAGAAACCACTATGTGGAGCGAGAGTCAAAATTGAGTCAGGTGGTCTAAAGACTCCCTATTCTGGAAATAAAACGCTTAAATACATGGAAGTTTGTGCTCTTACAGAGGGCACAGACAGATATTCATGCAACTCCTGCCAATGTATTATATCGACTTATATTGTATTGAGGATTTTTTGGTGTTCATTTTTCATGATAATGATTACAAATGCATTATTCATTTGTTCAGATTTCCATTTAAAATGTGTTATTTGGATAGACTACCTTTTTATGACAAGATGTGTTGACCTGCTGTGAATGACTTAGTAGATTAATCAACTGGCAGTGTGAGATGCATGCACTTTTATAGAGAGCAGAACATCTAAGTATATTTAATGTGATGAGCTAGAGAGTCGTAAGTGGGGAATAACAACGGTGAAGATCTGAAATATTCTGCATCTTGCAGATAAAACCTGTTTTTTATCTTCAATATTCTCTGCAAAAAGAAGTTTAGGTTCTGAGGAAGAACATTACATTGCTTTATACGCTTGTCGCCAGTGTAGACATTCAGACATCAGTCCATATGTCTGGGAGAAAGTACATCTTGATTGTGAGAGTGAAGTGAGCCTATAAAGCAAAAATAATGCGGTGGGGGTTTGTGGAAAAATTAATGCAATGAATGAGCGACGTCTACCTCAAATTTTTTTTTTTAAGAACATGGTATTCATTAGGACTGAATAACAGTAGGGCCAAGTGCTCCACAAGTATAAATACCCAGTTTCAAGCCAAAATGCAGATTTGCTTCTTTGAGAGATATTCCTACCACTTTAATAAGCCTCCTTTTTAAAAACGTTCAACAATCATCCATCACTTCTCTGGTGGGATATAAAGCAACCAAGGAATTATGTGACAACAAAGACACCATAGATGGCCATCTTTGTCATGGACTACAAAAATACATCAGTGCGTCTCAGCTGAATAATCTCATTTACCAACAACAATAAATTCTCTATTCAACCTGAAGCAATACCTCACATCCATGCTCAATAGAGATAAGGATGGACGACTTTAAAAAAACAAAATTGGCATTTAAGGTTATTATGAGGTTGTGCAACCTGACTTTTGAAAGAAGGAATAACTTGTTTTCTCTCTTACAAATGAAAAGTTGAATTCATCTGCAGCTTAATTCACCCTGACTCACTCCCACTGACTTTATTTTGAAATACTTTGAGTATGTGAAGGAAATCGGTATGGGGGCAAGTTCTGCACCTGAATATGCATGTTTGTTTTCCTAAGGAAGAATGAGCCATTTCAAAGCTTAAGGAGGATTTTAACAACTGGCAGCTGGTCTGTCAAATCAACTCACAAGACAGGTGCTATAAATCATGTACAATCTCAGTGGCTTGGGAAGGAGCTTGACAGATTAACAACAGCAGTTTATTTCATAAGACTCACAAACAGCAGTTTATTTAATTCCTTTAATTAGCTTTTTTGTAACAAGACACAGCACACAATCACGATTAGACTGATTATTTGTCTGAAAATCCATTCCAACTTGACAACTATTTAGCTGATGCATATTATTCTTGAGTTTTGAACTGTACACAGGTTGAAACCTTTTGTTATTTTACTTTTCACATCAACAACTATGTGACTAAATAAAAGTTTTTTTTAAACTATTTATTTTAAACCTTGGCTTTGCTCCTGTTCCTACGCACAAGTGCCTGAAGTTTGCTTCTGCGTACACTGAAAGCACTTTTCTGAACTTAAAATTTCACACTTTAGCTGAAGAAGGTCATAAAGTTGTCATAGGAACCGTTACATAAATCTCAAAGTTGATGTAGATGATCTAGATCACTTTCAGGCCATTTCTGAAAGCATTTGTTCATATCTGCTTTGATAAATGAGCCCCATTAACTGCTGATCCTTTATTTTGTAGCTAACCACCAGATTTGGCAGGTATGGCTCTGCTGTGAGACACAGTTGGCTATGCTGCAGCTCAGCATTGTTGGGCCAAAAACTCTAAAGATAGTAGAGACTCCAACAGGGAGGCAACCAGTCCACAGCAGGACTTAACCCTGGCCAGTGGAGATAAGGGAACTGTTACTCCATGCCTTTTTTTTTTCTTTTTTTTTTGTCGCCTCTGCCCAAGGAGGAAGAACTGCACAGGTCTGAAGTGCAGTTGTAATGTAGGGAGCTAATAACATTCAGAAATCATTAGTCAGTGCATGTGAATGGCTGCCTTGTTTGATATGCAGTTGGCTGGTGGAGATTGTATCTGAAGGCTGGGGAATGGCATGAAACGGTGCGACAGCCAGAGTTGATTTGCTCAGCTCATAGAGTGATTGATGCGGAGATTGTTTACACGCAGCCAATCTTTTGTCATTGTGTATGCGTCTGCATTTCTGCTCGCACTAGGTGTGTTCCAGTATTCATTGTTCCTTGAGTATATGTACATATGCATGCCACTGTGCGCGCACTTGTATTTATTTGTGTGTCTGTCTTGTGTGTCCGCATATATCAGCCGGCCTCAGCCAAGGTTTCTCACCTTCCAGCTCTGGCTCTCAGCACCCTGACTCCTCATTTGCAGTCCTTTTCTGCCTCCCTCACTCCCTCATCTCTCCTTCCATCTCACTGAGGGTTTCACGCTCCTAACCGTGAAATTCACCCGCATTCACAATTATGTCTTCAATCAGAGCCATCTCAAAGCTAGTAGGATGCAGTCTTTCTTGGGAAACGGCAGGAGGTCCAAATCAGCACTCAGAGGACCGAGCAGGCTTTATTCCTTACTCTGCTCTCTACACTAATGACTGACAGATTTTTAGGGATGGGAGCAGTCAAGTTCGGGAGGCTTTTAACTTGCAATCAGGTACCCTCGGCCTGCATGCTCCGTGGCATGTTGATCCATTGGCAAACCAATATGATTGCAGATATTGAATAATTCATGGATGTCTAATGATGTGTCAATCACAGATGGTTTTGTTTTATTTATTGCGCACTATGCACAGGTTTGTGCGTCCTCCAAGCTCTATTGCAAGTTAATATTGCATGAAGACTGTTAGCAACATGACACTGAGTACAGCATCTAGCCTTTTCTCAACAGGGATGTTGTGCTGTTTGGCTAACAAGTCTGGAGGAGGGAATATTAATTCGCAAAGATCATGTTCTCTGGCTTCTTTATGGCTTTTCAAATTAAAACAACCCTTTAAATTGCAGTATATAAACAAATGCCTGTAAAATCTCTGGAAAAAACTCCATTGTTCATGTGTTGTTTTTCAGATTCATTAACTGGTACTTGTTGTTTTTGTAGAAGCGTCCCTGCACTTTACCGCTCCACTGTGTAGTTATTCAGACATCAGTATTCTATCATCTCCTGCTGATTTTCAGAACTGTGGTTTTTCCATCTACGTAAAGGTTGTTCAGCTCAGCCTTGCTCTGACTTAACCATTGCTTGATCTGCTCTTAACACAACCCTCCACCATCTATTTCTTGAGTTTTACTTTTTCCATTAAGTGGCGTTATACTTTG